ATGGGCTAAGCGTAAGGATGCCCTTTGCTTTGTCAGGTTCGTGGTGGATCGTATCCCCACTCCTGTTTTGGGAGAATGTATAAGGATCATTCGGCAAAAGGGAGTTGATTGCGAAAGGAACTTCCTTAGGGCAGTCCTGGAACTATATCAGGACATGCCGTTGACTGTATCAAATAAGGAGTCGAATGACATGGAGAGCTATCGCAAGTTGGAAGAAGTGAGAAGATGTTCCAACAAAGAATTGAAAGTGAGCCGGGAGTTGATTGAAGCAGTCAAAGGACAAAAAGAGTTTGCAACACTAGGGAAACTGAAGTCGTTCCAATATGTGTCTGGCATACCGGGGATGGCGTACAATCCCTTCGTGAATGAAGAAGCCAGGGAAGCGTACTTCGACTATGAGCAAGTCATAGTACTCAATTTCTGGGTTGAACGTATTAAAGAAACTGGAATGCTGATGGTGGAACAACCCAAGCTGGGAATTATCTTGGAAGAACGAGTGGTCGAACCCTCGGTTCCCGAGCTAAAGGGGCAAGTGAGTTTTGATTGTGGTTCTTGGGACGGTCCCTTGAAAACCAGTCTAGTGACGATGTGGGAACTCATGAAGCCTTCTTGGTGTCCTCATCCTAACGCCGGCTTAATCTGGGACATGACGGCAGATATCACGTTAGACCTAGATGATGACGCGAGTTTGCATGATCTGGCCATGATACATCATCTGCTGGCCATGAGGTTGACGAAGCGGAAGAGCAACCCATCCACGGAGCTGTCCGAGGAAGGTCCATCGAGCAATTGGTTGAAGCAACGCACATGCTTGGCTCAACATAGCGGGTTGGAAGGACATGTTTGTAACCTGGGACACTGCCTGGTTACGCTGAGCGAGCAGCATCGGCAACTGGCACGATTGTACGGAAGATTGAGCATGTCGGATAAGTGTGGCATGGAGTTGGTCGCGGACTGTCATGGGGTGACGGATGTAAACTTGATCACAGCCTTGGGATTTTGTAGCATGACGAGTTCGATTGAATCGCTTGAGCGCCTGGAGCGTGCCCATGAGCTACTGACGTCCCTCAGCGTGGAAGTATTCCCTGGAGCATTGCAAACGGAGCAGAAGATCGGAGGCTGGAGAGAAGCTCTGGAGAACGAGATGAATCTGAAAGATAGTCAGGCCTATCATAAACCGACTGGTTCAAAATATCTGGTGGGTTCAAGCTCCGCACCATATTGCAGTAGGAGATATCCTACACACATGGTGGTGATGGATGCAAGGACACAGCAGGTGTTGATTGACCAACTTTTCTCTGTGCCAAAGTGCGTAAGGTTGGCCAGAATGTCGGAAAAGTCACATGATTTATTGGCGAAGATCTTTCGGGCAGTCCCGAAGAGATCTGAAGGCGAGTTGCAAGACGTAGTGGGTGAAGAGTTTCTGAGATTAAACGAAGGCAATGTGAGTGAGTTCCAGAAGCAGAAAGCGAGTGGAGCGTTACCCACTGAATTCCCCACCATAGAAGAGAAAGACGACTTACACAGAATTCTGATGGAGGTGGAACCGTTGCTGGGAGCCTCAGGGTATCGGACCCGAAGGAACATAGTGAGAACCCATGGGGAGTGTCCTTGCCACTGCTTGGCGCAGACGTTGTGGTACCCCAAACGCGGGAATCTGATGCTAGTATGGGACGTGGAGGAGTTATACTCTACGGGGTTGCCCGATCAGAATCAACAGGTGTCAATCGTGGTGGTTAGTGCCATGCTGGCAGTGAGATGGCTGGAGGCTAACGCGGACACAAGTGAACAGGAGACGGCCGTGCCGACTCCTGAACAGCTGAGCAACGTGAAGATGAGTCATGAATTGGATCTTTTCAGAACCACCTGCAAGGTTCTGAGAATACCTAAAGCCATTGAAAGAATATGGTCAAGGCAAAGATTGATGCCTTGGTTCCGTGCAGTGATGACATCATGGATGTATGAACGCGCGAAGCGTCACATGTCGAGGAACACGGAAGCCTATCAATCTTTCCAGCAAGATATAGGACCAGGAGCCTATAAGAGAGCATTACTGACGCACAGAAACGCGGTCACCACGGCGGTGAAGCGAGTAGCTGGAGCGCTTTGTGTAACTGAAGTTGAGAAGAAAGAGGTCTTAAGAGCTGACCTAGAACGAAACGTGAGCCTGTGTCTTCACAACAGCTTTTGCAGGAACCGGGAGCAAAAGGTTAATGTTGACTTGCTACCTTGTTGCAAACCGAGGCTGTTGGAACAGGAGAGTTGGGGCACGGCCCGCAACTCCATGGACATGCTGGAGAAAGTATTGGAAGACAGCGAAGCTATAGATCAAGATGGAGAAGTGATGGAATGAAGATGAACAAAGAAGAGAAGAGAAGGAGAAAAAACTTGATTGTCTATGTGTGCTAAAACTTGAACCAATCAACCAAGTTTTGATTATTGAACTTGTTAAACTTTTTGTTTTGATTTAGTTTGGTCAAACCAAACTTTGAAAAATGTTACAATTGTTAAATTGTTGAAAAAGAGATTTTAGTTATGACTATTTATGTATGTATATATAGAACATAGGTGAGTACATTTACCTATTCAAACACGATTGAAGTTTTTAACCTGTGTAAGACACAATTTCACTGTGTGGTGACATGGTAAGTTTGAGTAAACTCGCTCGAGAAGGGTGGGTAACTCAATAACTTTCCTAGCCACAGAGTTTCTTAGTTTTAATATTAAAAGGACCGCATAAATAACTGATTATACTTGGCGAGTGACGTTAAGTTAATTTTAACGGGTGCGTGGCCGTGCCACGTCCCACTTTTTAATCAAAAAGAGTGAAAAAAAATTTTATGGCAAGACGACGTAAGTAGTCAGAAAAGAAATTTTATCTAGGACATTCCTCATGGTGCAAATTTTGTGAAAATGTTGAAAGGCAGTGAGATGTAGTACGATGCCATTTGTGAACACGTAGTGAGTTGAGGTGGGGTAGATAAATTTCATTTTCTTATGCGATTCGTAAGATTGATTACAGAGAACTGGAACACTACTTGACGATAACCCGGTGTTATGCGATCAATAGGGACATTGATGGGGACTGTCCGGGGAGTATGTGCCATTCTGCCAGATGGCACAGCGCAACCTTCCGACGAAACACGAATCAGAGAGAAAAGGCCTGAACAGCAAAAAAGTGCTTGAAAGGAGGGTCGAAGTATTCTGAAACTTTCTAATTTTAAAATTTCGATTTTCAAGTTGATATTTCTCAGAAATACGAAAAACGGCCATTTTGACCAGAAGAACTAGGAAAATAAGAACAACGACAAATATTGTGAAAAACGTGCAAGAGACGGAGAATACGAAGCCTCTTATCGTGGCAGCAACGCACGATAAGACCCTTATCAGCAGATATTAGTGGAGAAGGAAGCTTCGGTGGGGAAGGAATATTCCACGGAACCCTCCCGGGACGCAAATTAGAAGAGATAAGAGCGTTATCGCAGGAATATTACGGGAGCGGAGGCTTGGTCCCCCAGAGACTGTTTTATGTGAAGGGACTGTATAAAACTGACTGTATAGCTACTTGGATGTCGTGAAACTTTAAATTAACACCGGTGTAACTTGATATTTTAGAATATGAGTAGCTAGAAAGAGGAAAGGGTCAATCCATCTCCAATGGATTTAATATAGAACTGTCACACAAAAACATATTAAAATAGTTTGTTCGAGCCGTGTTTTTAATGACAATCACGCAGTCTGAGAATCCGAGACTCAGCTATGTGGTTGTGTTCGCATGTAAACGAAAGCTGATCAAAAGTCGTTTGACTGATGGCCTAAATATGGTAACTTTTTACTTTGCCCTAAACAGACCAGAAAATCAACTGGCAAGGTCGAGACGGTGAAAAACGAGTAGGATTCAGGTAACTGACGCCTGCCAGTCGTTATTAGGTACTTTTTCTACGCTCCGTCGCTGTGTAGTATTTGGGCAAATGTTACAATAGAAGGGCATATACTGATACTTATGAACCAATATCTGCAACTATTAGAAGAGCTGACCGAAAGCTCTACGATGCAATCCTCCAAACAGGTTCTGATCATCTGTTGTTTGATTTAGTTCCGACACGTTCTACCTACTCAGCAAACAACCTGCGCTGTCGTGATACACATATTGTTCGCTGTAAGATGGAGAGGCAAATGAAATTATTTCCTTATCGCCTGCTGCGCAGACTTCATGACATATAGTTTAATTTGTTATGTCTTATTACGATTTATAGATGTCATTCTATAACTAATTTTAAAAAAAAGTCATTGAACTCAAATAACGATAAAAATTTGCTGAAAATCAAAGTGCATTATGTCGAAATTGGACAACGAAAACAGGCATTGGAGCGAATAAAAATTGATAATGCGCCTAATTTGTCCACTAGTGTACAATCTCAGCATATATTTGCAGTTGCTTCAATTTCGCGTTATTTTTCCAGGTATTCCAATTGACATCTGTTCAGACAAAAAGCCATCAATACCAGCAAGGAAATTAATACCATTGAACTTGTATAGTACTGTATGTTTTGGTACAAAAATTTACACTTTTTCACTAGAAAAAAAAACAAGTATCAATGCTTGAACGTTTTTGTCAATTCGAGAATAAGAAAGCACAATTTGAGTCAACATAGAACGGTAAAACAACAATAGATTAGAAGCGCAGCATTAGCTGGCGCCAGGGATTTCAATACAATATCAATATATTGAGCTCAATATCAATATCTTCCATTCAATATCAATATCAATATCAAATAGGATGAAATTTCAATATCAATATCAATATCTAAAAGCTCAATATCTCAATATAATCACTATTTTAAGATACCAGAGACCAAATTCAATATTGAATTTCGAAATATATAATTAAATTTGTTTAGTTTTTTTTGCGAAAAAGCCTAAATTGGATGATATACCTGCACTGTTCGCAAGTGGGTAACAAATAACATTTCACATTTCAGAAACTTTTTATCACCATTTGTTTTATGTGTATGTGTTAAAACGTCACGTTTCAAGCAATGATACAAAATCCGTTTTTCTCAATATCTACAAAAAATTCAATATCAATATCAATATCTAGCCTTCAATATCTCAATATTAAAAATTCAATATTGACATCGTCTCAATATTCAATATCTGATCATTCAATATATTGCAATCCCTGGCTGGCGCTGCCGGTTCTCCTCACGCTGTTCAGGACTCCAACACTTTTTTCATACTTTTTTTTCACTCACTGCGGCAAAGTTATGTCCAGGATTTTCATTGACTTATCGTTCATGATTGTCTACATTGCCTTTCTGAGAGTTTCTCATGCTTGATCTTATGCCGGCTGATCAGTTTGTTAGTGGTACAGCTTGCTTGCCGTTTGCGATAGAATCCAATTGAATGTCATTGTTTTTCGTCGTTACCCCTGCTTACTACCTCACTTGTCTTAGCAAAGTCCCTGATGCCTTCAAAGTATCCCCATTTGACTGGCTTCAAAACAAATTAATTGAAAGCAGTGCGCTGCTTGATCCGGTATGCGAAACAGAAGGAAATCAGGTATAATGCCAGTGTAGTGGATGTAACTTTTATTATGTTGGCATTTGAGAATTAATGAACTTCACATAAAGGACTCCCCAGAAAGGCAGAATTTGCATGAATGTGGTTAGGAAATTGACTGAATTCCTGAGTTGAGATTATAGACCAAACAAGGAACACCCATGAACTACTAGAGGCCTTGCGTATTCAGAGCGAATGGCCAAAAACGAACACACGCAATGGTTTCAGGATACAGGAACTAACACTAAAACTGTAGTCCATGGTTATTCAAGACTGAAATAGTTTTAAATAAATATGACATGTCAGATGTGATAAAAATAATCTCGAAACAAAAAGTTATTACGGCAAAAGAACAAAAACGATAAACGTTCAAATATTTAGTTTTCGTTTTGTTCTGAGTGTTTTCATTTTCATTAAAGTTTTCTATCGTTTTTAGTGGATATGGCATGGAGTTGCTGTGGATGTTTACGATGGAACAGTAAATTCAAGTGAGTTCTAATTTCTGATCTGAAATAGATAGTTTTTGAGGCTAGCTTCTATAGCTTAAATTTTTGTTTCGAAAAGGTTATTTGACGGCTTTCGATTTGAACCTCCATATTGCAAATTTGTCATGTTTTGCGATATTTGTGCATGATTTTAGGGCTAAATTGAATTGACCATAGGAGGCAACGCCGAACAGTCTAGATAAAAATGTTTGACTAAAAGCATGATTTTTTGTAATATATGGAGAATAATTGTTCTGAAAATTGAATTTATCTCCTAAAATTTTACATTACGGCAACATTTCCAAAAAGTTTCATCAAATTGAAGTTCAAATGTGTATGAAAGTAGAAAAGCCGGAGGTTTTGAAGATCCCTTCCAATTCATTTGTAAAGTCGACGGCAAATTGCGCTCAACAATGAAAGGTATTTTATATGAAGGGGTCTTCCGTGCACAAGCTGTATGAAGACGGGACACTGGGCTTTGTTCACAGGATCTTCATTTTTAGTTGATCTTTAAATCGGTACTTTCGTCAATCAATAGACATATTTTCAGCATGTGTGCATTTTCCATTCCCGTTATATTCAAAATTTGTCTTGTTTGTTGTTATTTTTTCAAAATCGGCTTCAAAGGTTTCGGATTATCTGCTTTTTGTCATTATAATTTGTCGTATGAGCAAATGCTTTTCTGAAGTGCGTGTATTTTGAGGGAGGGGACTTAAAAATTTATGTATTGTTGGCTCTGTGACCGCTTCGTAAGTCTTCGTTTCGGTTTTTATTTCACTTGCGAGAGCAAGTGTCTTGTCATCGGGAATGGTTTTTTTTTCATCAGAACCAACTTTACCTACGGGCGATAAAACTCAGGTTGGAATCCCGGCTGGACGTAGTTTTCTTTTCAATGATGTATGTATGCCTTTTTCACCCTCTATGTCTGTATGTATAACTTGCTTTGCTGTATCTCGACACCTTTCAGCCCCCTTCCCACTTGGTCTAGATGTATAGCACGGGACTTCGGAACACACGGTTTGGGGCTCTGTTCGAATTTCAACTGTCCTATCTGACATATTTTTCTCAAATGCAGCTATGGAAATATGGCACAAATATGGAAATAATGTAAGATCTAGTTTTTTTCGACATTTTTTTTCGATAGCGGTTTTCGTTTCAGTTTATGCCCACTAATTTATCATGCTATGATTCTATTGAATTGCAAGTGGTGCGAAGCTCTGCTTTGCCTCTGTGTTCAAATTGATCAACAAACTGTATGTCAATTAAATGTCGACACGAAATATGTCGTTACCACCGTAAGATATTTTAAGTGTTCCTCTTCTATGGCTCTTTTTTGTTTCACTGCCTTCCTGTTGTTATCTGGGACTTTCCATTTAATGTTTTGACTTGCCGCTGCATTGTCAGCACTAGGTGTCGAGCTGCGCCATCGGTGCGTGCGACGATTAATGCACATCAGTTCCTCGGCTCATTATCCCTGGTAATTTTTTTGAGGTTCTCCACGAAGAGAAGAACATAAGCTGTCTTTTGAAGGACTTTCGTCCAATTGCTATAGCGGTGCTGTGATCCATCGGTATGACGATGTCTTGTCTGACGCTCTTTATCCACGGGTGGCGTCGTCAGCTGGGCTGTCTTTGTTCGGCACGTATCCTCAGTGCAGGTAGGAAATGGCGTTCAGTATGAGGCTGAGGCGGCTGGCAATGAAAATTCCGGTGGTCCTGATTGGGTGTGTTGATCGAGTGAAGAACTGCCGTGGTGTCAGTCCAAAATGTCAGGCTGTCGATTGTGATGTCGTGAGGTTCGTTCACAAACTTGGCTAGTTTGGCTCCATTGGTAGTGGCTTGAAGTTTCAGGGTCGTATAGTATTTTTTGATGAGTGATACTCTGGCTTTTCCAATTACAATTTTTAGGTCCTTTTTGATGTCGTTTTAAGTGATTATGAGGTATGCAACTGATGCAAGAGCCACTTTAAAGACATTGCTGAATAATTGCAGCTGAGTGTCGGTTGTTTTCATTTGTGCTCAGAAGTACATTCGATTTAGTTCCACGTCGAAGTCTTCGATTTTGTCGATATAGTCGTTGAGGTCGGACAAAATTGTCAGATCGAGGTCTTTGTCTCATTGAAGCCCTGAGGTCCACGCGAAATATAAGCTGTGGAAGGCGAATTTTCAAAGGCATAGCGATTTCGAGCTGATCAAATAGCGAAAAAGCAAACTTTTGTGTGATGTCTGCTTGCCAAAGTGTCTGGAATCTCTTGGCTTCCACGAGATATTGGCCTGATTCAGGCTTCCGTTTGACTCCCAGAACTCTTTCCAGCGGCTGTTTTTTGTCTCCGAGGCGTTCTTCTTCAACGCTTTCAAGAAATTGCTTAGAGTTGGAAGTCCGCTTAGTCAAATTGAATCCACCGAGACTAAACACGCGTGTAAGATCGGATGTAAATCTGATGGCTTTGTCGATTTTTGAAACGGCTTTGCAAAGGTCGTCCATGAAGATGTTCCGTTCGGTGATTTGAATTAAGTCGAGTTTTTTTTGTCATCGTTGTACTTTGCGCATCGTCTGTTTGCGTAGCAGGCAACACAAGGAGAGTCGGTTGCTCCAAAGATGTGTCTCGTGTACTGGTATGTGATGATATCCTAGTTGTCGTCTTTCCACAAAAAACGTAGGTATAGTTGGTCTTCTGGGTTCAGGAATATCTGCATGAGCATTGTTTCAATTTCGGCTGAAATGACAACTTGGTCCTACGAAATCGCTTGACGATTTCAGTGAGGATGTAGAAAAGGTCAGGTCCTGTAGATGCTAGAGGCATTGAGTATTGGGCGTAATTTACCAGGTTTGCTGGCGTTCGTTACTGGGTGGTGAGGCAACATTCGTCGTTGTTGCTGTTGACTTGCTTGAATGTCGGCAGGTTTTGTTGCGCTGTCTTTACCACATATAAATTATCCAAGTGGCATGTTGTTTTTTATCCATGTGGGCTGATAGATTGTTTGGTAGTCGCTGAACCAGTGGCTGAGTTCCAAAAGTGAAGGCTGTCGAATGTGCTTTTGCAGGCTCAACATTTTTCTCAGAAAGATTGCGAGGTCTTCTTTGCTTCTTCGGTGTTTGATTGATGGACTAATGAAATTAGTGAGTCGTTCAAGGAATGAAGTCACTATTTTCGTTGGGTTTCTATAGTCGTCACATTGAACCGCTGCCTGATCCACGGATTAGGGATTTGGCGTCTCCGGAAACAAGTCGTTGAAGGTGGATTAGTTTTTCAGAATCTGACATGTCGGTGTTGTCTATTGTGGAGTTGTAGATTTTCAATCCAATCTAACTATTGTTTGGGTTCTCGGTCTAAGTTGAAGGGTTCGACTATTGGTACGGACTTTCGATAATTTTTCGAAAGCGTTGGCTCGTGATAGACATCGGGTAGTGAAAAGCATTTCTGTAGGTTGTGCTGACGGGATGTCGAAATGTTGCTCAAATTTTTGTGACGGTCGAATCGTGAGGTGATGCGGGTGTTGCTCCCTTGACTAACAAGATGTAGTCTGCTGTGTTATTGGTGGCAGTGATTGAGGTTGACATCCAAAGGTGTTCAAAAAGGCATGAAGCAAGAAATGGGTAGTTGGAGTGATTGCAATTGCTGGCTGATGATCGTAGCTAAGGAGCTGCTGAGATGGTGCGAGAGGGAGCTGTATCCATATGAATGGTACTGTGACAAATTGTTGGTCGAATGCGGCTGAAATTTTGTCGTTGGTTGGCTCAAGTGCTGTTTTGTCGAGACGTTGCAGAGGAATCATGCGGAGTTGAGTTCCGTGATCTGGTTGCGTTCCGAAAGTTGTCGGCCGCTGAACTGATGTCATGGCTGGAAATATTAGTCCTGTATTGCGTTGAGCTCTTATGCGACAAAGAGATACGATTGGCATGAAGGCATTTGCAGTGTTAGTTAGCGGACGGGCTGTCGTTGATGATGTTACAGTTTGCTGAACGTTACTGAGTTGAGACTCATGATTCGGCTAAAATTTCGGCAGTAGAAGAGTTTGAGTCTCATGAGCCTCGTGTAAACGGCTGAAATATTTGCAAATTTCTGGCATGGAGGCGATATCGTGTCAGTTTGTTGTTGAAAACTATGCTGGAGTTGAGTTCAATGGTGAATTGCGGTGCTAATTTTCCGTGTGTAGCTTGATTGTTGACTGATGTGGAAACATTTTCCTTGAAAGAGCTCGTTGTGAAGACGGCTGAAAATTAAGGATTGACAAATCGCGGCTGGTTTTCGCTAGTTTCTGACAATAATTTTCGAAACGGCGGCTGAGTCGGGGATTCACTTCATCAGGCTGAGTGTTGTCAGATGTTCAGAATCTGACTTGTCGTTGTCTATTGTGGCGTTGTAGATTACAATCCAATCTGACCATTGTTTGGGTTCGCCGTCTAGGTTGAAGTCTTTGACAATTGATACGGACTTTCGAAAGGTTTTCAAATCGTAGGCCGGTGATAGTCGTCGGTCTGTCGGGTATTTGCAAGCCTTGCTGTAGACTGTGCTGGCGGGATGACGAAATGTTGCTCAAATGTTTGTGGCTGTCGAATCGTGAGGTGATGCCGGTGTTGGTCCGTTGGCTAACAAGATGTAGTCTGATGTGTTATTGGTGGTAGCCAAAGCAGTTTGACATCCAAAGATGTTCAAAAAGGCATGTAGTAAGAACTGGGTAGTTGGAGGAGTTGCAACTGCTTGCTGGTGATCGTAGCTGAGGTGCTGCTGGGGTGTTGCGAGAGGGGGCTGCTCTGTGACCCATGGTTGCAAGAATTGCTGCTGATTGATCAAGTCTGAGGCGTCTGGCTGATGAAAAGATATGGGCTGGCTGCTAGTCTGATTGGCAATTCCTTGAATGTTCCACGCGTCAGCGTAGCTGCAAGTGGAGATAGGTAGAGTAGGGATAAATGTCACTGTTAAAGGCGGCTAGTGAGGTATTAAAGGCGATTGTCTGATTAGCAGGATAGCTGTTGACTGCTGTTCGGTTCAAAAACTGGGATTGAGAATTTGCTGATGCAGTTGGGTCTCCATTTGAGATGGCTGAATCCTTATGAATCTTCCTGTGGCAAGTTGTTGGTCGAATGCGGCTGAAATTTTGTCATTGGTTGGCTAAAATGTTGCTCTGTCGAAACGTTGGGTTGCGGAGGAATCATGTGGAGTTGAGTTCCGTGATCTAGTTGCTTTCCAAAAATTGTCGGCCGTTGAACTGTGTCATCGGTGGAAATGTTAGTCCTGGATTGCGCTGAGTTGCGAAGCGACTAAGAGATACGGTTGACATGGAGGCACTTGCAGTATTAGTTAGCTGGTGGGCTGTCGTTGATGATGTTTCAGTTTGCTGAGCGTTACTGAGTTGAGTTTCATGATTCGGCTGGAGTTTCGGTAGTGAAGAGGTTGTCTCATGAGCCTCCGGGTAAACGGCTGAAGTATTTGTAAATTTCAGACATGGAGGCGAGATCGTGCCAGTTCGTTATTTAAAACTATGCTGGAGTTCAATGGTGAATTGCGGTGCTAATTTTCCGTGTGTAGCTTGATTGTTGACTGATGTTGAAAAGTTTTCACTTAAAGTGATTGTTGTGAAGGCGGCTGGCAATTGCGGATTGACGAATCGCGGCGTTTTTTTTGCTAGTTTTGACAACGGCTGTCGAAACTGCGGCTGAGTCGTTATTTCACTTGTAACAGGCTGAGTGTTGATCGCTTATGTGGCTAAGTATTGCGTTGACTGAGCAAGATGATGTTCTGTCGTTGTTGATGATGTTAGTCGTGTTGTGTGTCTGGGATTTCGCATGCTGGTTGGCGGTTAGGGCAGATAGAACAAGCGATGGGGAATAATTTTTGCTTTGAACCCGATATTACATAGCGTTTGTACTCAATCGTGGTCTTTCAATAGCGCAGTTTAACTTCAGTTTCGTTTTTTTTTCACTACGTTCGCTCAATAATTAACAACAGTATCCTTCCATTGAATTTAATAAATACCGTGTCCGAGTCATTTTCAATTACTTCCATATAACATTGACATTTCTATTTGAATTCTTTTTTGAAAACTATGATCTCGTAATAGACATAAAATAAAACAAAACAATAGCAATAACGTAGTTCAAAATATCAGTTTGAAGAGGAGGTCCAAAAAAATCCAGTAGGTTTCAGTAACAAGCAAACCAATCCAAAATAAATTAAATTAACAAAACAAACCAAATAACAGTAAGAATCCGTCTTTTTTCACGTGCCTGGCAACAACACCAAGATAGTTAGGGGAAACGGAAAAGTTAAATTATCTATGAGGGAGTAATTGTCAATTAACAAGCGAAACAGAAGATTTTTTAGAACGTTTAGAAAAAGGGTGACATTTGAAATATTAGCTTGTAATTTGAAGACATGAGATTTGAATTCAGGCGATTTAGTTGCATTGCGCTGTAAGTTTTAAATTAGAAGTTATGTTGTTTCAAAGTTGGGAGCTTGATTTTTTGAGTTTTTAATTCGTGCCCTAATGGCATGCACATGTTTTGCTGTAGTGTAATTGTTGTCTCGCTGCTATGTTTTTGGTGATTATTTATTACACTTGTGTGAGCAAGTGTCTTGTAATCGGGAATTAGACTTTTTTCCATAAACAATTTTTGTGGTAACGCCATTGCCTTTGCACCCTAAGGTCAGTGGTTCGAGACCCAGACGGACCTTGTTATTTTAATTGTATATGCAATTTCAGATTTTTTTCCGGTAAAAATTGAATTGTCGGATTCTTGTTTGTCTGCTCAAGTTTTGTGCGCTTAGTTGCCACATCTCGGTGTTTGCTTGTGCTGTAAGCAACTTTGATTGTAATTGCAAGTGCATGTGTTGTTCAATGCAGTTTTAGGGGGGACTTTGAATTTTAAAAATATATTTTTTCGGCTGAACTTGTGAATGCTTATGTTGTATCGCAAGTCTCTGTCTGGAATTTTTCTACCGGATTGAAAAATTCCTATTCAAAACACAGAATATGTTAATTTTTTTGCACCCACTTAACTAGTTTTTAGAGGGGAGAATTTCATATTGGTTCTTAGTTGGAGATTTTAGCTAATCAGAATGATTTTTTTAGACTAATTCAAACTAAAGATTTGTTGGAGTATCTAATTTGGTCTATTATTGGAGAAAGTTAATTTATGACCTTTTTGGTTTGAGACATCTTTGATAAGATATTATCAAGTTTTTGTTTTAGACAAAAATACAAGACGCAAGACGTATTTGATGAAAGAATTCCATTCGAAACAGCTGTAAGTTTGAAATGCTATCTCATTCTGTTCTTCTAAAATTCTTTGATCAAATCAGAACGGAATGAATTGAAGAGACAGCCAAAATGATACTTTCAAGAAAGAAAAAAGTTAAATTGAGTTACAGAACTCGGATATCCACGTTTGTTAGTTATTTTAGTGCTAATTACAGTAGCGAAATATTGAACGTTTTTACATGCCTTGCAAATGAAGAAGAGTAAGAAAGTTGAATTTTTTTAGCTGACCCAGCTCTTGATTGATGACCAAAGCGAAGGCAACGAAAGGTGAATACACGATATATATCTTTTTGAAAAAGGATATTCTGTTTTATGGAGACTTATACAGGTCTTGATGAGTTTTGTTCAGGAAAATCGGTTTTTCGCGGTTCGACTTCTCATTTATTTTAAAGTTTACTCCATTTCCTCTGTTAAATGAAAACCAACTCCACTATCAAACGGCAAAATGTAAAGGTCACGAAAATTGTGTATGACTTTTTGTTTTAAAAGTAAACTTAAATTATCTGAAATCACTGCGGAATAAAAAAAATCACCTTTTGAACCAGGTTTCTGTAAATGAGACAGCCTCACGAAAAAAGCGCCAATCAATAAACAGTAATTGAAATTTAAAGAGCTTAAGCGAGATTTATTTTTTCTTAGAAAGTTGGAATATCTTTGAAATTTTTCGATCAACTTTTTTTGGTTTCGTTCTGCAGTTTTCCAACTGTGTTGGTGCTTTTTACGCAGCATTAATCAGATTCCATCATTTTGAAAACTAATTTCCCAAGATGTTAAACGATCACTTTTGGGCCGTGTTACAGAACAGACTCAAAAAGGTATTTAGAGCGCAATACTTTTGTTAATACAAATGAAATAGAGCTTTTGTTCCAGCCAATCAGGTTGTCTAAGTGGGAATGCATTTATAACTGAGAAGGAGCGTCAGCTGTTGAAAGAGGGCAAATACGAGGAGTTGAGGCGCATGCAGTTGGCAGAGGAGATGCGAGCCAAATCAGAGGTACTATAAATCATCCGAAACTCCTACTGCGGTGGAATGTGTCCCTAATTGAGTCATTAAAAACAATGAAATTTGGTTCTCGCACATTTTATGGAAAGGTTAAAAGGTCATTCAAACTAATCTAAACGCAAAATTCAAATCCTTGGTCTGGTTATTGGCGGATTTAGAGGTGCTTCTTTGCCTTTTTCTCGCAAGCGATCTGCGCAGTATCTTTTTATGAACCTTTTTTTCTAACCTAACTCGCAAATAAAGGTGTTCATTCAACGTGGAAAGTGTTTACTTATTTGGCGGCACTTTTGCTATAATCACGATCTAGCGTTGGAATTTTCATAGCATCTGTTCATAGCTTTATTAATGGCTAGTGTTTGTGATGTATTAAGCGTGCGTGGCTGAGTGGTTAGTGCGTGAGACTCATAATCTCTAGGTCGCACATCGAGTCCGAGGCCTAGCCGAAATTTTAATAATTCGAGGCTTTTTTGTTGCACTTTATAGAGCTGCTGTTTGACGTGTTCTCGCTAGCGTTCATGCTCTAATCTTTTGGAGATTGATTTTTGTGAAATCTTTTTGGTCGCTTGAAATCTATTTGGCGAGGGGAATGTAAATTACCCATGCTCTATAATGACAAGTGGCGAGAAAAAGAAAACTGATTGTTTCAATAATGGTCTTTAATTTTCAAATTCGCAGCGGAATAAAAGCTTCTCTTATTGATCAATGTTTTTGCAAATTTGAATGATTTTATTTAACAAAGTGGCAATTATAAATTAGCCTTGAAGTTCTTAGAAGTTTGAGGTCAAATATTTTATTCTTTGAAATTGCTTCAAAAATCATTATCAGGCTTTTAGTTCGCAGTTCACATTCTTATATAGGTTGCGATGATTTAAAGTCTTAAAAATTTTCAGGCTCAAATTTATTTTTTCGTTGTTTGACTTTTAAGTTCAGTTCATCTCTGTTAAAAAGAAGGCAAAGTCCACTATCGAACAGCGAAATTTTTAAGGTGCAGCTTTGTTTGTGTCGAAATGCGTTTGGTCGGCTTGCAAGGTTTTGGCTAACGATTATTTACATTGTTTTGTCTCGCTTGAAGGGCGATAATATTTTTCTGTGGGGAATGTGTAGCTTGAAAACTTCGAGGTTTTAATTTTTTGCTCAACTTTTGTTTGAAAAGAAAGTTTTTAACTCAATAGCGTCTTTCCAGTTTGTGGTGGTTAAGCTACCGATTCATAGTTTTTTTTATTATTATTTCATTACCAACAATTGTCGATCAGTTTTTAAGAGTCGATGAACGTATTGAAGACTTATAAACGTCAAGATGATTTTTCCTTTTTTTTAGGAAAAATTTTGAAATTCGTTCGGCTCAAATTTTGTTTTTTCGCGATTTGACTTTTGATTTATTCAAGTTCAGTTCATTTCCTTTGTTAAAAGAAGGTAAACGCCACTATTGAGCAGCAGAAGTGTAAAGGTCACGAAAAACATAATCGACTTCTAATGATGAAAGTGGTTTTTATAAGTAAGAGTCAATGAACGTAGTTCAGACACTTTATAGATCGTGATGATTTTTTTGTCGTTTGTTTTTTTTTTCAGGAAAAATCGAAAATGATCTAATAACAAACAAAGTGTGTTCATACTTATCAATACTCAAATAAATGCTCTCAGGTATATGTGCTTTTTGAGTTCAATTCAAGGTCATGTGTTAGAAGGTGAAATGGCGCGAAAATACGTGATTGATTTCTAGTTTCGAAGTGGAATTTAATTTTAAGGTTTCCCAGCGGAATCTTAATTTTTCCTAGAAATCCAGTTTTCTCAAATTTGGTTAACATTATCAAGAAAATGCCAATTATAATTGCCATTGAAATTCAAAGATTCATATTTTGTTTGAAATTCGAAAGTTAAATTTTTTTTTCAAGAAACTCAGTATTTTTTCTATATTTTTTTTTGCGTTCATGACTTTTTCACAACTCTGTTGGCTGGGCTTTTTGCAACCTGATCTGCAGTCATTAGTTTTTTTGTAAACATTCAAACTAGTTTTAAATTGAAGTGTCAAGTGAAATTGCTTTTTGGTTTTTTCCCGGATGGTTTTTGGTTTTTCTTGGAAAAGGCAAGCTCAAGTTTTATTTTTCCGCTGTATGACTTTTAATTTCTTTTTAAGTTCAGTTCATTTCCTTCTTGAATGCAAACTACACCATCGAACAGCAAAAGTGTAAAGGTCACGAAACACATGTTTGACTTCTCATTTCGAAAGTGGATTTTAATTCTCAGATTTCCCAGCCGAATAAAAACTTAACCTATGGAGCCAGTTTTCTCAAATTGAGTCATATTTATCAAATCCAGCACTATCTACGCCGCTGACAGTTTAACCAAAGAGTTTTAGAAGGTAGCTTTAACGAAAAATTGCGATCGCCCTCCTCAATTTAAGTATATATAGGCACCAAAAACGACTCAAAAAATTAGGGAGTGGTCGACCAGAAAGCTGACGTAAATTAGTACCAAAGCAGCGAATCTTTGGAAAAATTTGGCAATGAAATTTATGGGAAGGCATCCCCCCTCTGAGCACGATATTGGTTTTGATTAAATCGGTATTTGGAGCTAAAATTGGTTGCCCAAGTGAATCAATTATATATGAATTTCTTCTTGGTGTTAGGCTCCTAGACAGAAGCAATCTGTGCTCTTCGATGTAGTTGAGCGTCCTTGGGTTAAGCAAAAGCTCCTTCAGAAGAGCCTACGAAAGTTCGTTCACAGTCGACCCTTACAAAAGCCTGTAACGCTTAAGCAGGTTTGTGTGCAATGGCTCAATGATTAACTTCAAACATATTGCTCTTGAACATTAATTCATGCATTTTTAACCAAGTCTTTTGTCGCTTGTATCTTATTTTCGTATCTTATTTTCCACGCGTAACCCGTATGGTTTTTTCAAGATTCCATTCCTGTTCCTAATCGAGGCCAAATGATATCCTCCAACAGACCATCTTATTTTCTTCTGTTCAAACCAGTCATTGAACTCTTAAATTATACTGTCGATTGTTTTGATCTTTTTCCCTTTCTTATATGAACTAATTTATCTTCAAATCCGGTTTTTCTTCTTTTTCGCTAGTGATTCAATCGCCTAGATTTTGAGTTAGTTAACTGGACATTAATAATTTCAAAGTGTAGTAGAGAAAAGAGTGATTGTGGCTAGTCCTGAAAGTATTTTTTCGTCAACATTTAAATAGTCGGGCTTTCGTTTGTCTGCTTTTTTTGTCGGCTTAGGTGTTTCATCAGGGACTTTCCTTGTGCTTTAAGCAATTATCATTGTTGTTGATTTTTTCCTGTTGTTTATAAATTTACTAACCCTGACTTGAAATTGTACGTATTTATTTTTTCGCTTTGAAGCGTTTTTCGGCTTAATTAGTTTCGGTTTATGGTTATAGGCTTAGTCAATTTCAGCGGTGTAAAAGCCTCAAAGTTTTAAAACTTAATCGCTCACAGTTTTTCTGTGACAACATTTTTTTATGGCTTTTCTCTTGTTTTCAGCTAAACAATTTCACAGCATTTGTTTTTCTATAGCAAGTGCTTTGAAGCTATGCTTTGCCTCAATTTTAGGTTTTTGTTTATCAAATTTTTTACCTTGTTTTTAAGAGTAATTAACTGATTGAACTAAGAGTCTTCAATACGTTCATTACTATTAAAAACAAGGTAAAAAATGGTGATTTTTTGTTCGTTTTTTCTTAGGCTCGAGTTTGATTTTTTGCTGTATAAAATTTGAGTTCATTTCACGTAGAGTTCATTATTTGTTAAAAGGAAGGTAAGCTACACGAAAAACTTGATCGACTTCTAGTTTCGAAAATAGATTTTTCTTTTCATTTTTTCCCAGCGGAATAAAAAGTTTACCTAATGGTCCAGTTTTCTGAAATTCAGTAAACTTTATCAAAAAAGCACCAATCATAAGATGATCTTAAATTTCAAAGAGCTTATATGGTATTCATTTTTTCGTCAAAACTCGAAAACTGAAGTTTTTTCGAAAATTAAGTCAGTTTTTTTTGTTTCCTTGCGCTCATTACTCTTTTCGAAATGTCAGTTGGCCTTGGTTTTTCTTCAGTTGTTGTCTGACCTGCGCCCAGCTTCGGGCAAATTAATTTATAACGAAGTTCGCTGATTCCAAACTTACAAAGGCATGTACTTTTTCTCATTTCTTCACCATGCGTGAGCGAAAATGTGAGAAGCTCTACCAAAAGAAAAAGATTGCTACTTTTGCCTGCTGAGTTCACTTTGATAGGCGAAATAGCTCTCGGCGAAGCTCAAAACTTCAAAAAATTCTCTTGTATAACTCTTTAGATATTGACAGAATTGACGGATATGTTTCTGGTGAAATTTCATCTTTTTCATGGTTTTTTTAAACTCTTGTGACAGAAGTTATATTGCAACCGGGTACTATACTTTAATTGAATCCTATGAAAAACTTTGTTCAGTCGAGTCATCTGTTGGTGTAGAAGACAGGACTAATCTCCTGGTAATTTTTTTGAAACTTTACTGCCAGAAATATTTTTTGAGCATGTCTAAATTTTTATTACCTTTTTTATTTACTCAATCGAGCTAGTGAGCGTAGTGTCATATTAAAAATCTATTTTTAAACCCAACTCGATTATGAAAGTGATTGGTTGGTGGTATTTCTACCTGCTTTATTGGTGGCCATTGTTTATATATTCTCAAGCGTCCATGGCGCAGATGCGAAGGCGTGAGTCTGTAATATACAGAGCAAAGATTTGATTTCGGCACATAGCTTTAATTTGTTTTTCAAGGCTTAATTTGCCGTTGACTTTCTAATTTGGTTTAAGAATTTTTGTTGCCGTTTTTTCGCTTGTGTTTGCAAAATGGAGCTTCGTTAGTGTTGAAAAGCGTTTGTTCGGCTTGCAAGTTTTTGGCTTGTTTTTATTTAACTTGTTTTGCCTCGTTTGAAGGGCGATAATATTTTTCTGTGGGGTATGTGAAACTTGAAATCTTCGAGGCTATAATTTTTTGCTCAATTTTTCTTTGAACAGAAAGTTTTTTTTAAGTCAATGGAGGCTTTCCAGTTTGAGTTGGTTAAGTTTCATAGTTTTTGTTTTGATGCTAGCTCATCACCAACAATTGTCGATCAGTTTTTAAGAGTCGATGAACGTAGTGAAGTTTTTACAAACGGCAAGTTGACTTTTTTTCGTTTTTTTTCAGGAATAATCTTGAAATTTGTTCAGGTTCAAATTTTATTTTTTCGCGATTTGACTTTTGTTTTTTTTTAAGTTTAATTTCTTAAAATGAAGGCAAACTCTTGAACAGAAAATTGAGTTTGTTTTCCATTAAATGAATTTTTGAAATTCAAAAGAGTTTTAATGGCATGTATTTTTCACTTGAATTTTGAGTAATTTTTGAAATGATGCAATGAAATGTGAATGCGTCTTAGTTATGAAAGTGGATTTTTTTGCTGAAAGTTTTGGGAATGTTTGGATTTCAGTATTTTGTATGAAATATGAACACCAAGATTTTTTTGTGATGGTATTTCCATTATGATTCATCATTACTCGTCCTGTATTGCTAGTGGTGTTAAGCATTGCTTCACCTCGCGTGTTTTTCATTCAATTTTTAGATCAGTTGAAAAAAAAACTTAGTTTTTTGTTCGCGTGAAAGGTTTCGTTAGTTTTCGGCAATCATTCTTGTTAATATAGATTTTTAGAAAAGGATTCTTCTTTCCTTTCTCTGTTATGTATTCTTGTACGTTTTATATACCGTTTTTGTATTATGTATATACAATTCTCTGAATTTGTGCAGATAGTTTTTCAAATGTACTTCATTCAAATCCTCAAAATGTTTAAAAACGACTTGTCCCAAGGAATGAGCTTGTTGAATATTGTTTTTATTCTGCTGACGAGCATTTTTTTTTCCTGTAATTAACTTGAATATTCTGTTTCCAAATTTCCAATTCGGCTTACTTCGTTGATTATACTATAAGTTTCAGCAATTGATATGCTTTCGTCCAATCTTTCAGGTGTGTGTTTTTCTTAATAATTTACTAAGCAATTTGTTCAGTTCATTTTCATGTATTTCCTTAACTGAGAAAAGTTTGTGTCAAATTCGTATCTCGCGCACGCTGTCAAATTTTTGCATCAGGAATAATATTCGAAATAGAATAATTCGAATCTTGCGAGATACGAATGCGAAACAAATTTTACTCAGTTAAGGAATTACATTTACATGAATTGACAAAATTGTTTTTAAAAAAATTAAGAAAAATACATACAGTTGAAAGATTGAACGAAAGCATATCAAGTGCTAAATTGAATAGTATAATCAATGAAGTAAGTCGAATTGAAAAACTGAAAGATTGAACGAAAGCATATCAAGTGCTAAATTGAATAGTATAATCAATGAAGTAAGTCGAATTGAAAAACTGAAAACACAGAAATTACAAGTTAATCAAGGAAAAAATGCTCGTCAGCAGAATAAGAGCGCTATTCAACAAGCTCATTTCTTTGAACAAGTCGTTTAAAAAACCTTGGATTTTAATGAAGTACAATTGAAAAACTAACTGCACAAGTTCAGGGAGTTGTATATACATGATAATAATGAGTTTAGTAATGTTTTTGGTAGGTTAAAATCTATCTATATACAACATTTATTCAAAAAGTTAAAATTGCGAGGGTATTGAAAATAGAAAAAGTAGGAATTTTTGATTTTTTTCGCATACTCATTATAAACAAGTAATGAATAATTATATCAGAGACATCGCTCGACAGGCAGCAATGCCTTTTGATGTTCTCTCGAGTGAAGAAGTAATACATAAAGATAAGTTATGTTCTTAACACTCGAAGACAAATTGATAAATATTTTGAGCTCTGCTTTATTCTTAGTTGGCGTCTCAAGAGGCTTTAGTGCGGACTGAAGAAGAGTCGCGGTTCAAACAAGAACGTCTGGTGCTATTTGGAAACGACGAAGATAACGATTCATTCAATTCACCACATGAACAAGATTTAAGTCGTCACAAAAATAAGCTTATGGGTAGCAAATACGGCAATGGAGACCGCATCGTATCAGCATCACAAGCCACTGTATCACTTCACGCTGTAGTAGCTAAAGACGTAAACGAGCAGCTTATAGACCAGCAGTCGATATATCATGAAAAAGATGGTACTGTTCTTTTAATATAAAGCTAATAGTTGATTTAGTGAACGTTAATTAGAAGTCAATTTTAATGGAATAGATTAAAAGCCTGTAGTTGTTTTCGACTAGACTTAAAAAGTATATTTCAATGAAAGCTGGATTTTAAAACGGAGAAAAAAACGTTTATTTTGTCGATTCGATATTATAGGAAATTGTCTGAACTCTGAAGACAGATTGAAGGACGACGAAGATCTGGACAGTTGTTCAATGTCAAAAGATGCAGCCCAACATCTGTCGGATCAGGTCGAATCAGAAGCTAACTCTACTGACCAACCGAAAGACAGTAATAACGAGTGGCCCGAAGAATTTACCAGTGCGTTGTCAGATGAAACGTACAATGAACCTAAAAGTATCGAAGACAGCGGAAATTGTACGCTCACAACTGTTGACCTTAATCATGACGAGGGTGCATTTTCAAATAAAAATAGGTAGCGAAGCATTGATCGATTGTTTCAGGTTTTTTTTATTGAGTTCATAAATTGGTAGTGTGTAGTTCAATTATTGATCCTAGCTTTTAGAGATGAAAGGACTATCCTTAGCGGGAATTAGGGGCGGCGGATCAAGAGTTTTTCAAGGTAGCAGTTTTTGAAATCTAAACGTTTGATGACCCTCCTACCGATCAAACTGATTTGTTTGCGATCCCTCGCAAAGCCCTCATTTTGCCTAAAGCTTGTGACTTGAACAGTTTTTGAAGAAAATAATGCTGAATGGACGAGTTGATTCGGCGCGCGCTCCTAGTTTTTTATAGCTCCAAGTAAATTGGATATAGCTCCAAGTATATTTTGGCACTAAAGACGCCTTAAGAAAAAAATGCGTGTTGCTGGGCTAAAAATTGATATCCTGAAATATTACCTATTAAGAAAGATATTTTTGGGTAAGGGTGTAATTTTCACAATAGGGGTGTCTGCTGAACTCCACTCCTGGCTGGAAAAATGTCAGTGAATTTAGCATTTATCCCAATTCCTCTAATTTTTGCAACTGGGAATTTTGATTTTTGACTTCAAGTCTGGACAAACTCAGGTCTGCTCGGGTCTACTCAGCGTATCCAACGTTGTCATCGTTAATTTTGACGACCACCATTTGAGCTGCTTGATTTAAGATCGAATGGACTGGAAATCATCGTCGAAGATCTATAATCAGCATGATAAAGGAAGCTTCAACTGTAAAAGAATCGAAGAGCTAGTCGTAAACTGTACGGGTTTTTTCCGCAGCAGATCTTTCAATCAGTACTATTTCAATTCGAATACATCTGAACATTGTGATTTGTTAATATCCATGAATGAAAAATGTCTAAAGTTAAAAGGACCATCTTGCAACCACGATGTCCTTGAAGATTTGAAGAAAGAAGCGGAGAAATTTTCGCAACTCAATGCTAAAAGCGATAGAGATAACAAGCTTGTGAACGATGTTTGGGAGTTACGTTCTACCCCCATTAAAACGTGGAAAACATCCTAACTCATCTGGATCTCTGATTGTAAATCACGTCGTTTAGCAAATTTATATATACTGTCCAGTTTCGATATTTTCAAGGCCATAGTCGATAAGTTTTTTAAAATGAGGGTGGGAAATTAAATAGAAGGAACATGTACTGTGACTTCTTACATGCTATTATCAGGAGGCCTTCGATTTTGGTAGCATAAAGTTAGGTGATTCCTTTTTGTGTGATTCATGCATTTCAGTTGAAATTGAATCATGGATGTTGCTGCTCGAATTACAGTGCGAGATCGCGAGCGAGATCTTCTGGCTGAAAGATGCCAGAAGAAGTTCCAAGATTTCCTGGAACAGTTCAAGAACCTGGAGAAACCAGACGAACTCATGTATCTTCCACAAGCGAAGGAGTTGCTTCAAGTTGAAAGGAACACGCTGTTTGTTGATTTCAACAACTTGCTAGACTTCGATTCTGATCTGTGCACTTTAATCCAAGAAGAGTTTTATCGAGTACAATCTGCTCTTTCTCATGCTGTGACGAATTTTGTGAATGACCATGTTGAACATCTGCCTCCGAAAAAGGAATTGTATGCGGCGTTCGAGAATGTGCCGGCAAAGATGAATCTGAGAGAGTTGAACAGTGCAAAAATTGGCAGTCTGTTGTGTGTTAGTGGACAAGTCATCAGGTATTGAATCTTATTTTTTCTTAGTATTTTTGCAGGGATGACCATTTAAATCTCTTTAAGCCTTGAAACTTGTGTAACCAAGCCATAAAGCGAAGAGTTTTTGTCGAAAGTAGATGTTACCATGAAATCAGGTGATTAAGTTAACAGATTTGTTTTATCTTAAAATATTTTTGTGCGGCCGTAAAAAAAAAGCTTTTTTTTTCACAATTTATCAAACCCGATTAGTCAAACTTCCATTCTAAACTCGGATGCTTAATTTAATTCTGATAATGCTTATTTTTTTAACAGAATATCAATTTACTCAGTGAGAACCATTGCGTTTATTCGTTATATAATGATTCGTTTATTTGCCGAGCTACCAGCCTGGTCTTCCGCCTAAACGAAATAGTTAATTTAGTTAATTTTTACAGGACTCACCCTGTGCACCCTGAGTTGATCTCAGGCGCATTCAAATGCAGTGATTGCAACAGTTTCATTCCAAATGTCACTCAGCAGTTCCGCTACACCCAGCCTACTATATGTACTAATCCACAGTGTCAGAATAGAAGACGATTCGCGCTGGACATTGAGCAATCGAAGTTCGTGGACTTCCAGAAAGTGCGAGTCCAGGAAACTCAAGCGGAGATTCCTTTGGGCAGCATACCCAGAAGGTTTGCCATCACATTTCATTCAATTATTTTTAGATCTTGTTTTCTCCACCCCCCCCCCCCTCCATTGCAAATAAGGTGCAAAATTCTTATGTGCTTAACCGTTGAATTATTTATTTATAGGGGTCGAATTTTTTTTTCAGAGAAGTCTTAAAATTTGTTCACGATCAAATTTGATTTTTCACGGTTTGACATTTGATTTCTTTTTAAGTTCAGGTCGTTTCCTTTGAAAAAAGGAAGGCAAACTCCACAATGGAACAGAAAAAGTGTAATTTTCACGAAAAAGGTGATCGAATTCTAATTTCAAAAGAAGATGTCAATCATAAACTGTTCTTGAAATTGAAAGAGCCCTAAAGCCATGTATTTTTTAAATTGAAATTCAGTTTTTTTTCTGTATCATTGCGTGCATTGACTTTTTCTTAATTGTTTGTTGGCTGTGTTCTCGTATACTGACTGCCAAAAGTTTCATGAAAATTGTTCTGATAGGCAGAATAATGTGTGAATGTCAATTGAGAACAAAGTCAATTTTTTTGCTCGTTATTTCGGATTTCCTGGTATTCATGTTCACAATTCAAATGTCTGTCTATTTCAACTCATAGACAATTCCCTTTTTTTACCTAGCGATAAGCAAGGGTGTGGTAACCGCGTTTCAACTTGCTTCATAACAAATTCAAAATCGAATAAAATCCAGCGAATCTGGTGTATAGGTCACACATCTGCTTGAGATACCAAAGGTTTGTGGTTCGAATCCGGGAGCAGCCTTTTTTTTTCAAAATAAAAGTTTTTAACTTTTTCGGACTACCGTCAGTCTGTTTAAAAGTCGATGAACGTAGTTAGACTCTTATATAGGTCCGCGGTTTTTCTTTTTTCGCGTTTTGATATCTGTTTAAGTTCAGTTCATTTCCTTAGTTAAAAAGAAAGCAGGCTCTTTTTTCTCCCCCCCACCTGACGTCGGTTTCAACTTATTAGTGTAACGAGTGGTTTTACGAGGTTGAGTATGAAGACCAAATATGTTTGTAGTGGCCTTATTAGTCTGTATGTAAATTTTCATAACAATCGGACAATGTGGTCAACAAATTTACATGTAAAAATTTTGCAGGTGGGGGGGGGGGGGAAGGAAAAAGGTCCATAAGGCAAATTCCACTATCGAACAGCGAAAGTTTAAATTTCACGAAAAAGGTGATCGACTGCTAATTTCGACGAAATTTTCTTTTTGATCCAGTTTTCTCAAAATGGATTTATTTTAGCAAAAAAGTGTCGGTCATTAATTGTTCTAGAGCATTAAGGCCAGCTATTTTTTTCTTCGAAGTTTAAAAGTTGAGATTTGGACTGTTAATGTGTTATGCTATGTTTGTGTATCGCAAGTGGTGCGGAGCTCTGCTTCGCCTCAGTGTATGTTTTTTTGAGGTTAAGTTATACAGATAAGGTTGTTTTCTATGTATATTTTGAGGTTTAGTTTTAAGATAAGGTTATTTTCTATATAGACGCAACTTACGACTTCAAATCGAATATTAACACTATCCTAATGCTGAAAACATAATATTGAAAGTTTATTTTTTGAAGTAAAATGTAGCTCTTCAAATTCCGTCTTCTAGGTATGTTTTTATTTTGTAGCATGGAGATTATCATGCGCGGCGAGATAGTGGAGACTTTGCAGCCTGGAGATCGATGTGACTTCACTGGATGTTTGATCGTGGTTCCAGACGTGGCCCAGTTCAGCTCCGGCCAGTCGGGTGCCCAGTCGGGAGATGTGAAGAAGAAGAGCGATGGATACGAGAATGAAGGAGTCAGGGGTCTCAAGTCCCTGGGAGTGCGAGACCTCACTTACAGAATCGGTAAACATGAAATAGTGTCCATCCCATCAGCCACGTTACATGAAATAATGTAAAGACGTGTAGAATTTGAAAAAAGAACAAAATAGCGCTTTTTAACTAAAGCTTACTAATTCAATGAATTTTGAAAGCTGTGACCGAAATAAATTGGACATCATATGGAGATGAAGGAGTGGCGTAAGGTTATGCGTTGCAGGGAGTTGAAGCTCTGAAGTTGAAACAAACTACTTCATAAAATAGGAATAACATTTTTTTGACGCCAGGCTATACTGGGTCAACGACCGGGTCATTTTATTGACCCAGGCTATACTTGGTCAATTTTTTTTGACGCGAGGCTATACTGGGTCAACGATTGTGAGTTTTTTTACTGCATGACTTTTCAACCTTGTGTTTTTAGCATTCCTGGCGTGTAACGTGGCCTCATCTCACCAGCTGTTCGGAGGGAAGTCGACCTCTCTTCGGGACGAATGGGCGGCAGAGGAGATGAGTGCAGAGAAACTGAAAGCTAGCATGACAGAAGCCGAATGGGAGAAGATCTACGAGATGAGTCAGGACCCGAAGCTGTTCGACAACCTCATCCAATCCATTTTCCCATCTATCCACGGTAACCAGGAAGTCAAGAGAGGTGTCGCTTTAATGCTGTTTGGAGGAGTGCCCAAAACTACAGCCGAAGGTACAATCAGGCAGAAAATTCGTTTAGTCTTAGATGTAATGCATATATCCAATTCTCATTGAAAAATCCCCGGCGGGATAGAAATATATCTTTTTATAAGATAATCTGATGTTCTATATTCGAATGCTCAAAAAGTTTCAAGAAAGATTTGAACTATCTAAATAGCTCATTGTTTTGTTTCAGCTCAAGGTTTGATTTTGGCAAGTTGTTTCTCTCGCTCATTTTGATTCTGGGTATTGTTTTTCTCTGGCGCGGCAGTGTTAAGTTTAAATTTTCAAGCAAGGTAGAGGTGCACCTATTTGACCTTTTCTAATGGATTGATTAGGGACAACATTGCGAGGAGATATCAACGTCTGCATTGTGGGAGATCCAAGTACTGCCAAGAGTCAGATCCTCAAGCGGGTCGAGGAGATCACCCCACGTGCAGTCTACACCTCAGGTAATCAAACTTTCACTCATTTTTAAGAATGATGAGTATGTTCTCGATTGAATTTTCTAGAGGTAATCGTGGAAAGCAATATTTTGAAAGCCAAATTATTGGCCGCACCAAGACAATTGCCGAAACACTAACTGAGTTTAGAAATAGGAAACATGTAGATATTTTAAAATGTGTTTTTTGAACATGGTCATTCAATCTATTGTAAAGTGTTCGGCTATTCAAGGGAGTTTTCGATAATATTGTTGGCGATAGAATTATTTGTGTTGGCGATAGAAATATTAAATACTATATTTATTGCCAATACTAACCAAAAAACCCGTCAGTTATCACAGCTATTTAAACGAATTGAGTAGAAACAAATTTGCAGCGTACCTTATACTCATAAAAAAAAGTTGTGTTACAAAAAGACGATTCATCTTTAAAAAAACTTTTGAGTTCTCACTGTGGGTGAAATTATCAGGAAAGGCGAGTACTGCGGCTGGTCTGACTGCGGCAGTGGTGAAGGACGAGGAGTCTTTTCAGTTCGTGATTGAAGCAGGAGCTCTCATGTTGGCAGACAACGGAGTCTGCTGCATTGACGAGTTCGACAAGATGGACTACAAAGATCAGGTCTGTCAATGTAGAATAATGCTTGCTGAAGGACTGTAGATGTTTAGATAGTTCAAATTGATTATTGAATTACATAAGCTGAGCGTAGTGTGTTATGTTAGTACAAGGCTACTTTTTTCCAACCCAAAGTCGCAAATTTTACTGCTACTTTGGGTTGCACTTTACAGGAGACCGAATTGGCTATTGTTATTTGATTACCTGAATATGTTATTTGATTACCTATGCGATAATGTTTGATTACTAGTAAGTTTCCACAGCTGATGCATTTTAAATTCGTGAAATGAACCGAAGAAAGCTAATTGTCGCTATTCGCACTGCCCCTCTTGCCGAGGAGTGGGAGGGGGTTGAATACATTTGCAAACTTGTGTTTGCGAGTTCCACTTCTTGGAAGGGTCTTCTCTAGAACCTAGTAAAACGCCACAAAGCTGCTCTTCCCAATACTATGCAAGTTGCCATCTGCACAACCACCGCGGAAGCGCAGTTCTCGATACTACAACACCCCCCCCCCCCCCCAAACAAATAACACCCTCTTCAAAAGCCACAGTGCGGGTCTCCTGACTGACTTGATCGACCTTAACGAGTACATCACCAAAACCCGCTGTTTATTTAGTTCACCAAAACCCGCTGTTTATAGGTTTTTTGTTCAGTTTTAATAAGTCATATAATACTTTAATTGTAACGCTCTAGTTGTAATGTTCCAATTCTACAGTTTACTTTGCTTACTTCACATTGCTCTTTAATGAGTTTACCTTAATGAGTCTCACATATTTTTCAATTTTTTTCGGTTCATCATTCTTTTTTACACTAGCTGTGTAGGGTATTAGTAGGAACCTTTTTTTCCTACCTGGCTCGCAAATAAAAGTGCTCATTTGGCGGTAATTTGCTGTAATCATGATCTGTAGCTTTGAAATTCACTTAACATCTGTTCTCTTCTTTAGTTATGGCTAGTGTTTGGAGATCGTTAAGCGTCCGTGGGTAGCGAGTAGGTCGAATCCGTCGCGTAGCCAAAAATTTACTTATTTGAGGTTTATTTTTACTTTTTGTTCCGACCATTTGAAAAATGGGGAGGAACTTTGCATTCGGGTGTTTTAGTTTTTTTTCCAACCAAAATCAGGTACCACAAATAATTATCGGAATGGGTCGTGTTAGATCATATTGAAGCTCTTTCAGTCGTGATTCGAACGACATTGGAAAAATGAAAAAGTTTTCATCATTTTTTCAGAGTGTCGAGAAAAACCGGTTTAAAATTTTTGATTTTTGGTCCAATTTCGAACTAATATGGTGTGAGCATGTAGGCCTACAATAGCTTTTTTTAAGCCATGAAAACTTAGTTGTACTCAAATAAAGGTAGTTTTTGGACTTTTTAGCGCCATTTTTTAAACAACGGTAATTTCGTTCCTGTCTGGTCATATTGTTTCGTCTCGTTCAATCTATCACTGCAGCTCCACCAGGGTCTCTAGCGGCAACACCCACGTAAAAGGGGGAGGGAACCTCCTTTTCCAGTGATGGCGCCTCTGTGCTGGTGTCGGCACCTTCCCTCTGTAAATCACATTCAAGAAGGCGGTTTCGGTGTGGTATTAAAACCCGTCCTAGGAGCCAAGTTTTTCGGCGTGCGGAGAACCGAGTGAAACTCCATGCCCGGTTCAAGCGGGCAGTTTTTAGTTAGCGGGGAGGACCGAGAAAAACTCCCGTTACGTGGGGTTATGTGAAAACTGCAGCTGTTTGGCAGCTTCTTCGGGATTCTCTTATAAGCTCTCGATGGTAAGTGAGGTTGGGTGTAAACAGATGATCGGTGGTGTGTGGTCTTACGTAGCAACTTGGGTAGACATCGGGTATATTGTTGTTAAGCCTGGGGTGGTAGCTGGCGAGGTGAGTTGAGTATCCGGATCGCAGCTGTGTTCGGTCGAAACATTCTGTGTGCTAGTTGCACAGTAACGGGCTATCCTTGTTCTTTTTCCTATTTATAGAGCTGTTTTTTTTCTTTTTTTTTCGCTAGTGTTTGCAAAGCCTAGCTTTGCCTGTGTCAGGTTCAGGCTGCTATGTCTAATTTTTCTCAGTTTTATCCGGTTGTTCCTACAGAGGTGGATTTTTGTTTGAATCTCTGAGTGTTTGTCCATCTATTTTAAACTATTATAAGCGTTTGTGCACCTCGCTCTGCTTTCCCCGTACTCCTTGTGCAGCCTTTTTTATAGCAGCCTTGGCATGTCAACTATTTTCAACGAATTTTTGATATAAACTTTTTTTATAGTTATCAGACACTAAGATATTTGGAATACAGAAGCGAGAGAAAATTCCGCTAAAACATTTCTGCACATTTTTTGTTGATCGATTATCTAATGGGAATGTTTCTATCCACTTTCTCTCAGCATCAGTTATGGCTAAAACTGTATGGAAGAAGAATCAATGTGCCGGCGCTACCAATATTTTCAAAGTTGATAAAGCCGATCATTGCCACTATATGAGTAACACAAGAGCACATCTTAATGTTAAAATTGCATCTGCATTAATCATTTGATGACTCGGCAACGTTTTGAGAAGTTAAATTCAAATGCCATGACAGTTTTTTTTCCTAACGACCAACACTAGATGAGGCTACAATTTGAATTTTCCCCGAAGATGCATTGCAATGGTTTGTGGTCTGTATTGATAGTGAAATAGCTGATGGTATTCTCATAGTTGTTTTGTATAACTTGTCAGAAGTTTGTTATTAAAACCTCGATTTATTCATTTTTCTTTTGTCTGATGGATGCTGCTTCTGAGAAATGATCTCATTGAGTTTTCTATGAAGCTCTCCGCGCTTTGCACTGCTATTGTAACCTAAAATTGAACCCTTATCTTTTGAAAAGGTTGTCAATTTTAGCAGGGACGAACTTAATATGGATTTCTCAATTACGTGAACTTTGTAATCACCGAACGTCGACAGTTTACTGCCTTTTTTACTCTGTTCGCTGATGTAACAATTCTAACACTAATTGTTTCAAGTGTTTCTTCGACCTTAATCTGAAGAAGCAAAATGCGGTTTTCCCAACGTTTCCCAACAAATTTTACAGATAACTGAGAGAGATGCTTTCGTACTTCATTGCGTTTTGCTTTTGTCCGCTATGCATTGTGACTGTTTTTATTTGTCCTTGTTTGGTTATCAAGCTATTTGCTTATCAGAAGTCCGAAGTGTCTGAACTCGCCCAATGCAGGTTTCCACCCAATGCAGGTTTCTTTTTTAGTACTTTCGGCATCACTGTGAAGTGATTTGTTTTTGGCAAGGCATGTTTTGGTGGGTAATTCCTGTCACATTTTTGTGTTTTCATTGAGTTTCATCACCACCGTTTCAAAGAATTTGTCTTTGTTTTGAATGAATAGAGTACGTTTTCTATACTTAATTCGGTTTTTACGAATTGAGTGTTCTACTCTCTTCTAAATGCAAGATGGGCACACACTGAAAACTGCGTAGTTGTATTTTGAATTTATTCGAGCTATTTTAGTTTCTGTTTGGTATGAGCCATTTCAGCGATAAAAGCTAATAGGAACCATATAAAATTTTTGGATATAGGATCAGCTGCCTCCTTTAATTGATCAAATTCGCAAAAAGTTAAAGTTTCTTGTAAGCATGCCAGAAAGTTACTTTTAGTAATCGATGCAAATTTTGTTTTTCTTTCAGCGATGAGAAGTGCTGCCGTGGTTGTGAGTATTGATTTAACATATTTTATTTTTCGATAAAAGTTATTTCATCTTGTCCTTCAGAACAACCAGTGAAATAAAGTTATTAAGGGCCTCTAGATAGTTTGTAAGTCTTCGTTGAATAGGAGGCATGATTTTTATTGGTATGTTTATCGATTTCATTTTTCTATCGAAAATAAGCATTAAAGCTCGACATTAAAGCAATGTGACAATTAAGTAGACGAAACAGGCAACGCATATTTTTCTTCAGCTTTATAAAATTATAACGCGCCTATTGTAAATTTCAGTTTTAGCAAGTTATATTGGGCTAATTAAGCACTTCAGTTTGCTTACATGACAAATGATGTGTGAAACACATACCTATGAACTTATCGGATGTATTTTTTCTAAATAAAAAGTTCGTTTTTTCGAGTAATCGAGAACTAGCTCTTCAGTTTTTCATTAATACAGAATTGCAGAAGCTTGCAGATTTATGAAAGATGTTTTTTTTTGCTCAGATGCTCACTTAGTATAGCACACCTTGGTGTTTGTATAATTCTGTAATGGAAAATTCGGAAAAAATGTTTCGGGGGCTATCGTTTTTGAAAGGCGTTTTGAATTATTCCTGCAGTTGTGCCGGTAATTGAGAGCCATTTTGATTTATTTCTATTGTTGTGCGGGTAATTGATTTCCAAGAAATGTTTTCCAATATTTATCTATCTATCTATCTATCTATATCTATATTTATACTATATTTAAATGCGAGTGACAGCTCTCTCCCATGTTTAATTCATCTCTCGAGTTTTTTCATGTTTAAGCTATATCATATATTGCAATGCTTAAGAAAATTTTTCAATTAGTTTTCCGTAAGGTCATTAATTTTCAGTAATTTTTTGCGAGGCCAAATTAAGTGTGTGTATACCTGCGTTTTTATTATTAATTTGATTATGTCTGTCTACCCGTCTCCTATTTTTTTATTTTTTATCTATCTATTATATATAAATGCGGACTTCACTATCTCGCCATGTTTAGGCTTTTTTAACGTATTATTTTTGCATGCTTAACAAAAAAAATATCACGTTTAAGCTATATCGTATATTGCTATGGTTGTTTTTTTTTGTTTTCCAGTTTAAATTCAGTGTTTATTTCATCAAGTTTGAAATAAGCAACCTGATAGTAGAATAGTGTCAGAGTTTTCCCAGGCTTTTTAGTTCTGGCCTCCATATATGAATAACCAAATCCTTCTAGTTTACAAGATTTTTTGCGAATTTCAAAAAAATTCACGAAAATTTAATTTTAAAAAACTTCTCAGTTTTTGAAATTCCCAAACCTGTAGTTGTGTGCTGTCAGAGTACTTTCAAAGATTGCACATATTGCCATCAAATAAGACTGCTCAAATCTTGGTAGTTTTCGAGATGTGAAATCTTTTCTGGTTCTCAATAAAAAACCTTTTATTTTAGAAAACTTAAGGTGAAGTTTCTTAAAATTTGAATTTCCCCCTTAACTTAAAAAGAAGAAACCAATATATGGATTTTTATTTCATAAACTATCTGAAATAATGTTTTTATCTGCTTTTATAAATTTTGACGGGAAAATAACACTTCTATTTCACGGCTGATTCTTTCGCGTAGTTTGTTATTCAATTGAGCTTTCATGATATCAAGCTGCAATGATATCATCTGTTTTGCCTCTGAGTCCCTCGACCACAGGCAATATCAAATAGAAAAAAAATCTATTTTGGTTCTAATAAAGAATAAAGAAGACGGCTCGTATCAGGGCAAAGCCCTGAATGTTCCGACTATCCATTAATTGTTCTCGAATTGTTTTTTGCTCTATGAAATATTGACAAACTACAAATTTTAGGCTGATATTATCAAAGTGTCAAAGTTTGAGTCGTTTAGGAATTAATAAGAACAACCAATTAGCTTGCAATTCAATTTGGAACGATTATGAGTGAGGATAATTTGCCACGCATAAATAATTCGCGTATTGAAGCAAACTATCTATCAAAGTATTATTTCAGCAGCAAAACTGCACTTTAGTCTAGTGCAAGCATACTGGCTTGGCAATCCCAAGATTTCCGGATCGAAGTCCATGCGCAGTCAATTTTTCTGAAATTAGTCTGAATAAAGAAACCACCTCGCTATTTTTCATCGAAATTCGGAACAATTAAACCAAATAGCTTCCTGGATGTAATTTGGATTTTCAATCCTTAGTTGGCAATCTTCAAACCACCATATCTTTGCAAAAATGGGCGCAATTGAAGTAATTTGAGCTATGTTGATTGAATAGATTTATAGCCTCAGCTGAATTTCAGACTAAGTTCTTCCTAATTACATTTTTGGCTATTGCTCTCTTTCAAAAACTATCTTTAACCAACAAAAACATCAAAAAAATTAGTCCACTGAATTGCTTTGTCGGGTGAAGTTCGGCGATGCTTAGCGAATGGAATGCTATGTTAGATGACCGATAAACATAGCATTGGGTGCTGTTGCAAAGCACTGATCTTATCTGACACCTTTTGTTTCAACTTTCGAAGAACGTAAGGAGTATATATGCTCGGGGTGGTTTTTAATATCCAAACCAATTCTCAAAGATATTTCCCTCGGGGGATCGCTCCGTGGTCTCAGAAGAGGCGCGCTCACCACGAGACCATCTTGGCTTAGAGAATGCTTCGAAATGCTCACTAATAGACTAACGTGACTGTAAGAGCGCTGTGATACTTAGATACTCAAAGTCTAACGCGTTCCAATTTTAATTGAGGCAGGCTAATTGGTCTTATTAATTTCATACACGGTTCTTAATATTCAGCTTAAAATTCATAGTTTGTCAATAATTCATTAATCAAAAACTATTCGAGACCAGTTTATGGACAGTCGGAACATTCAGGGCGTTGCCCTGATACGAGCAGTCTTGTTTTTATCTAGGCGTGATTGCTCTTAAATGTATCTATTCAAATTATTTTGTTTAGGTTGCTATCCACGAAGCTATGGAACAGCAAACAATCTCCATAACTAAGGCCGGTGTAAAGGCAACTCTGAACGCAAGAGCTTCTATTCTAGCGGCCGCTAATCCTATCGGAGGCCGTTACGATCGAAAAAAGACGCTCAAACACAACATCAACCTCTCGGCCCCTATCATGAGTCGATTTGATCTGTTTTTTGTTCTGGTGGACGAGTGTATTGAGACTATGGATTATGCAATCGCGAGGAAGATAGTTGATATGCATGGGTTGCAAGAGATTGAACAAGTGAAAACCCCGTACACTATTGAGGAGGTTCAGAGGTAGTGTAAAGAACTCGAAATTTGGAAAATATGTCAATTTAACGATACTTAGTAATAATAAATACATCAAATTAAAAAGAAAAAAATTTTGTTGTGGATTTTGATGACTAGTTGGGCGGTTGGTTTCATTTTTAATCCGAATAAATTACTTCAAGCTATTAGTGATAGCTTCCTAGACCCTCGACTGCTACTCAAATAAAAAAATACCAAAAGCGTGAATCAAATTTAACAAAAATATTCTTCATCCAGTCAGTGACTGTGACTGGTTTGTGTTGAAGGTACATCTGCTTTGCCCGACAGTTCAAACCCAAGATCAGTTCCGAGGCTCAGAAATTCATGGTGGGAGAGTACAGACGACTGAGACAGAGAGATTGTGTGTCGGGTTCGAAGAGTTCATTCAGGTAAAAACTTCTGTTTGATGATGCTAAAATCCGTAATTTGAACCGACATTTCGTTGCAATGCAATGCTATTTTGAAGTGTTCTGAAAGCTATTAATTTTTATCTTAGATCATAAGATCACAATAGGTTTTATTTGTGTTTTTTACAATCGTTTTTTGTCTGTTTTGTGTTATGCATTCTAATAGGCATTTGTCCCTGTGTTTCAGGATCACTGTGAGACAGCTGGAGAGTATGGTTCGACTGTCGGAGGCCATGGCAAGACTCTTCATCACTGACTACGTCAAACCAATACATGTCAAAGAAGCATTCAGACTACTCAGCAAGGTACGTCTTCAAAAAATTGTCTTATTTTGAACTTTATTTTGTTAAGTAGTATACTAGTAAAAAGAGTGTTGCCCATGAAGTATTTCTATGTAAATTAACTTATTTGTAAACTCAAGCATTTGTTTGCTGCCTGGTTATTTGATTTTTTCAATTAATTTCCTTTTTTGTCATAACGCCTTAGTTTTGATTTCGGTGTCCTTTCTCTAATCGCATCTCTGTTATAAAAAGATATTAGACAATTTTTGGAGAATGATAATTAAACTTTTTGAAGATCCTTCGATTTATATTGATTTAATCTTCTATCCGGTTGGTTTTTCAATTTCAGAGCATAATTCGCGTGGAGCAGGGCGAAGTAGAGTTAGACATGGAAGCCTCGTCATTGGAAAATGCGACCTCAGCTGAAGCCAATTCTGCCTCTTCTGAAGCATCGGCTGCTACTGACCGTCAGAGCGAGCAGCCGAACCAGACTGGTATTACAACAACAGTCGACCAGCAGTCGGTTAAGATTAAGTACGAAGAGTATAGGAAGATTATGAATGTACTGTTGCACAGACTGAGGAAATTAGAGGAGGAAGCAGAAGCGGCGGCTGCTGAAAAAGTTGGCTCCAACGAAGGAGGCGAAGAACAGGTTACTTCTTGCATCCATTTGCTAAGAGCTTTAGTATCTGATTGGTGTTCTTTATTACTTCAAATTTATCAAATGTATGATTCGTCAAATGTAAGATTCGGTATCAAATGATTTAGCTTTTGATGAATTTAGCTTCAAATTTGTAGCTAAATTCGACCTTTTTGAAGCTTGAATATCGAAAAACAACAGAGAAAAAACAGATTATTAACAGTGGGATTTCTTAAAGGCAAGTATATTGTGTGTTGGAAATTTAAGTTCAATTAATTTCAGGATGCGATGGATACCGAAACGGGCACAACGACTGCTACAGTCGAGGAGACAGCATCTATGCGTGACGGACAGACAGATGGTGCCGCTTCGGCAGGTTCCGAAGGAGGAGCAACCCAGGAAGACTTCAGCGACATCGGAGGAAGTAAAAAGAGCGAGTTGGTCAACTGGTACCTCGAGAGCATTTCGGACGAGATCGAGACTGTTGCCGATCTTGAACTGTGGAAAATGAAGATAGAAAAGATCATTTCGCGACTTATTGATCATGAACATGCGGTCATTGCAATCGTGCCAACGGAGGTAACGCCAGGCGACGGAACCGTAGATGCCGGCGAGGATCCGTTCTTAGTTGTTCATCCCAATTTTGTGGTCGAAGAGTAAACAATACATGCTGCTTTTGAGAAGAATAGGGGCGATGTTTTTGAAATGTTTCTAAACTTGAACTTTGTGTTTGTCATTGAAAATATGCTCTAGTGAAATGATAGCCTTTTTGCATTTAAGCTTTTAAGTATTATGAAGTTCTTGATGCCAATATTTGACGTTTGTTTTTTAACATCTAATTGTGTGCAATAATTTTTATACGCCCTTTTTGAATGTGATAGCCAGCAACTAATAATGATTCAACTAATCAGAATTAAAAATTGAAATGCCCATTTTATCCGGCCAAAATTTTCCTGACAATTGAAGTGTTCAGAGTCGTTCAAAATTACATGCATTATCGATTTCATGTAAAAAGAGTCATTTCTTTTGAGTATTTGGCAAAATTGCTTTACCAAAGAGTGATCAGTTTTGATGTGCTTTTCTGTTTTCAGGAATAGTCGATGCTTAATTTTTTTTTTGGCTCTGACTTAAATGTTTTGATGCCCTGCTTAAGTTTTTTTTTGTGCGTAATTTTATGCTTGCGATTAGCGAACGTCATAAAATCGAAATCCGGACTTTGTTTCAGGTTAAAAGCTTGTTCAATCAGCTGTGTGCTCAAATCAGGGTGACCACTTGGTCACTATTTTAGTGACCAGTCACTATTGGTCACTATTTTTTCAATGGTCACTAAAAGTCACTATTTACAACGGTTTTTGGTGACGAACCCTAAAATTTTTCTAAAGGCGCCTTTGGCGCCAATATATACTAATATTGAGGGGGGAACGCGCGCCAAAAAAAACGCGCGTTCCCCCCCAAAAAGTTCCTAAAAACGACTTTTTATTCAAAATTATGCCTGCGCTTGAAGTGCTTTGGCAGAGCTTGAAAAATTAATTTGGTCGATGTTTTAATTTTCAAGCTCTGCCAAAGCACTTCAACATCTAATCCTACCTTTTTTTGTCTACCTAAAAAAAAGGTAGACAAAAAATTCGAAAATGATAAAATTGTCATTGTCACTATTTTTCTCTCAAAAAAGTGGTAACCCTGGCTGCTCAAATGCTCAATTTCAAGTTCAACTACTGGATTCAAATTTAACTATCGGCTGCTAATACTAATAACTACTACTAAATGCTACATCTACAATTATTACCCAAGCGATCAGCGTACCATATTATTACGATGCTTCTTTTTTCCAACCTAACTCGCAAATAAAAGTGTTCATTAAAAATGTTCACTTATTTGGAAATTTCCCTGTAGCATTGGTAATTGCGTAGCATTTGTTCTCTGCTTTATGTGTGGCTAGTTTTTGGTACCTATTAAGCTTCTGTGGCTGAGTCGTTAGTGTGTGAGACTCTTCATCTCTAGGTTGCAGGTTCGAAACTCTGACGTAGCCCAATTTTGCTTATACTAATTCGACACTTATTTCTACTTTTTCTCATTGACATTTATAGAGCTGATTTTTTGTGTTCTTGCTAGTTTTTGCGAAGCGCAGCTTTGCCTCTGTGTAATCATTGTATTTGCAATTGTTGATTTTTGTTATTATTAAGAGGCATTGAACGTAGTAATGACTCTTATATACGTTTTGGTAATTTTTTGTTTGTTGGTTTTTCGCCAAAAGCCTTTAAATGCTCTAATAACTACAGATGTGTATTCATACATGTTATGGAATTTATGAATTCACTAAGGTATATATGCACTTTTAAAATTCAATTAAGAATCATCTGCAAAAAACTAGAATTTGAACTCACCAAAAAATTGGAGCGAAAAAATGTGAACGGAAGTTTCGAAGTTTTTGGGTTAATGATTGTTGGTGTAGTCTTTGTATGTTGCGAATTGTGTATACCAACTTGCATAAACTAACGTTTAAGCTGTCGTAGATCCTATGTGGACGGAAGATGCAGTTTTTTTCATACTTTTTGCCAAAAAAAATCATTTTTTTATTTTTGACTGAGTGTATGCTTTAGTTCTGTGGCTTGCTTACCTGTTTTTTTTTAAATAAATGAATTATAATCTTTTAGAATGCTCAAAATTTACGTCACAAGAAATCTGTAAAAAAGTTAAAATTAAACATAACACTTGAAACTTTTGTTGTAAGGAGTCGATGAACCTCATGCATGTTCTCATAGAGGTGATGTTTTGTGGTTTCGTTTTTTTTTCCATAAAAAGTCTCAAATTACTCTGATGTTTTACAGAAGTGCATTCATACATAATGCATTCATGAATTCTTCTAGGTGTATACGCACTATTTGAGTTCAAATCAGTTTTATTTGCTAGAAATTCGGTAAGTTTAGGTCTCCTATTGTGAAAGTGTAAAGGTCTCGAAAAATTCAGCTAGCTTAAATACTTCGAAAGAATAAATTGAAAAAGTTCATCAAACCTATTGTACATACTCTTAGCGTTGTAGAATGAAGTTTGAATATTGGTATCTATTATATATTTAAATGCGGGCTTCACTATCTCGCCATGTTTAAGCTTTTTCAACGTATTATTTTTGCATGTTTAAGAAAAGAATTTTTTTTCACGTTTAAGCTATATCGTATATTGCAATGGTTAAGATTTTTTTCGAGTTTCAATTCAGTGTTAGTTCACCAAGTTTGAAATTAGCAACCCAATATTGGGATGCGGTCAGGGCTTCCCCAGGTGTTGCGATTTTGGCCTCCATATATGAATAACCAAATCCTTTTAGTTTACGAGATTCGGCAGTTTTCGAGATATTTCAAAAATCTCTAGAAACCTTAAATAATTTAGAAAATTCTACAAAATTTCAAATTCTCATTATTGTAGTTGGATGTTGCCAGGGTACTCTGAGGGGTTGCAAATCTTACCTCCAAATCTCAATTCTCAAATCCTTGTAGTTGTCGAGATATGACGTTTTTTATGATTTTTTCGAAAATTTTCAAAAAAATTAGATTTAAAAATTCAAAAATTTTGAAAATCGCAATCATGTAGTTGGAAACTGTGAGGGTAATCACATGGGTTGCTTATCTTGCCTCTGAATATGACTTCTCAAATCCTGGTAATTTCGAGGTATGATAGTTTTTAGAATTTTTTCAAAAAGTTTCCAAAAACTTAAAATTGAAAAATTAAAAAAGTTCGAAGATCTCAATCCTGTGAGGTGAAACTTTGAGGTCACTGTGAGGGATTGCGAAACTTGCCTCCAAATATCACTGCTCAAATTTTTTTAGTTTTCGAGATATTACGTTTTTTGTGACTTTTCAAACAACTTTCACAGAAATTAATTTTTTTTCCTAATTTGAAATTCTATTTTTTTTGCAGTGGGGGAGGGGGGCGTGTCAGAGTACTCTCATGCGGATCTTGCCTCAAAATATGACTGCTCAAATCCTTGTAGCTTTCGAGATATGACGTGTTTTAAGTTTTCTTTATATTTTGCCAGAAAACTTAGATTTTGAAAAATTTAATAATAAAAATCATTTTTTAAAAAGTATTGAATTTCTCAACCTTGTAGTTGGGTACTGTTATGGTATTCTCCGGAGTTTCATGTTGCAAATTTTTGCGTCCGAATGCGACTGCTCAAATGCTTTTAGTTATGCGTTTGTAATGTTTTTTTTTTTTAGTTTTCAATGAACTTAGATATCAAAAATATTCACAAAATTGTATGGTTTTTCAAATTGTATGGTTTTTCAAAACCTGAACAACTTAACAAAATTTGAAATGACAACCCGGTAATTGGGTGTTGTCAGAGTACAATTAAAGGATGCATATATTATTTCTATTATCTGCGGTTTTGTGAGTTGTCATGAATTCGAAGCACCGAAGGTGCGTTACACGCTAATACTATTTTATATTACTTTTCGATCAATCGGTCTTTGAGAAAAAATCTTTTAAATGTGCTGGATATCCATCCTTGATGAGACTAAACTTAAATTTTCAAGGTTTCTTTATTTGATAAATCAAAATTCATTGGTGCTTGTTTTGTAATTAAAAATCCTATAAATTTTATTCACGCTTTTTCGATTTTTTGCTGTTTGTTTTTAAAGTTCAGCTCATTTCTTGTTAAATGGATTTGATAAAACAATTCCCATCGTAAGGAAAACTATTCAGCGCTAGCCAAATTAGATTAATCTTTCGCAACTGCGATTCTCTTGAGTTTTTTTCGTTAATTTTATCTTTTATTATTTTTCTTTGATGATCAAATTAAAATTTACAAAGAATTCTGGATTTGTTTTTATTTCTATCCCGTCGAGGTAGGTACTGCCAGATAGGTCGAGTGAAGTATATACAACGGAATGATTTATTCACTTTTGAGTCTTTTTGAGTTTTGTCTCAGTTATGAGCCAACCTTCAAATCTCTTATAGAGGTCGTGTTGATTTTTTTGTTTTGTATTTTTTCAGGAATGCAATAATTTTTTTTACAGAAATGCAGGTATACAGACTAATGCATTCTAGATATATACGCACTAGTTGATTTCAGTTCAATTTCATCTCCTGAAAGTTGAGTACGTTGCGCTCTCCAACTACGAAAGTACAAAAGTCCCAAAAAAAAACGATCGACTTCTAGTTTCGCAAATAGAATTCGATGTTCAGATGTCCCAGCGATATAAAAAAAATTCACCTTTGATGCATTTTTTTCAATTTGAGTGTGTTTTTTTATCGAAAAAGTGTCAATCATAATTTGCCTTCTTGAAATTCATAGAGATGTTTCTCTTTCATATATATTTTTTGAAAATCTAATTTTTCTCGAAAACAAGTCAGTTTATCTTTGTATCTTTTGTTTGTTGACTCTTTTCCGATTCTCCGTCGGCTAAGTTTAATTTTTCACTGGTAACCTATTCGAAATCCGCTTCGTTACTTAATGACGGTCCAGCTGTTTTCAATCTATATTGTCTTTGAGCCGGGAAATTGAGCTGTGGAATTTTCGCAATGTTTTCAACTTTTTTGGTTAATTGCTTTCTAGCATTTTTCGTTTCAATGCCGATGTCTAGGCACAGTCGTTAAAGTTTAGCTTTGGACGACAAAGCCTTATAGTTCGATATGAATTGGGACCAGTTTTTTTGCTAACTAAAATTTTAGCTTTGCGATTTTCGTTTTCCGATTTTTACTGAAATTTAAAGACTATTTTTTTTCCAGTTTTTGATTTGCCGATTCATTTGCTCAGTCATGCTTACTTCATTTTGTATCGCAAGTGGTGCGTAGATCTTCGCACCTATGTTAAAAGTGAATTTAATTTTGAGAAATCCCAGTGGAATATCATAGTTCTCTTAATCCGGTTTTCGAATACGGGTGACGTGAATCAAAAAAGTCAGTCATCATTTTCTTGAAAATTAGGGAG